CAAGGTGGCAGCGACGCTGTGGCTCGTGCTCATCGTTGCACGGCGGCGGCCGTTGCTCGAGTGCGTGATGCGGTGACTGGTCTCAACCACCGAGACCAGTCATCGCATCACGCACCCGACGAGGCATTTCGGCTTAAAAGAGCCGAAATGCGTCGTCGTCTTCTTCACAAATCGATGGTCGGAGTTCACCATCGACACGCCTCTTATTGATAAGTTCGAGATGAGCGCTCCGCAGTACCATTGCCCTCCCGCTCGACGACATGCACAAATGCTCGATCCAAACGGCGCGTCATAATGAAAAATATCGAATCCGAAGAGGACCGCAGTCAACGATGAGCGAAACGAGACTAGATAGGCAACGGCCCCTTCCGCCATGGCTACACATCAACCACGGCGATGGTCAATCAAGCACCGTGGAAACCTCAGCCATATATGGAGCCTGGCAGCGGTTAACCACTTCAATCGCTCACCGGATTGCTGATTATCACTCGCGGTGGCGACCAGAGATGCGGTGTAGCGCTCGCGTCATGCGTCTTGCCCAATAGGCCAATCGCCGACCACGATGAGAACTTATTCCATGTCAGTCTTCGATGAATTCTGAAACGGTGCTTCACTGGCCTTCGAGTTGAAGTTGTACCTCTAGCAAATGATATTCATGCCGCCCAGCCCTTGCTCGCGACAAGGCGTCTTGAGTGTTTTGAAATTATACAGCAGAATCGTATTGCCGGACACGTAGGAAGCCAAGTAGTTTGTGGGTTGTAGCCTATCAACAACTCGTAGGTACCAAGAGGATACACATACTACGTAGTAAATTACTATATCGCCAGCCAATGACTTTGCACCTTGCATTTTAGGTCTTCAAGTATTAATTTTACGAGACTTGCGAATGTGATTGGCTGCTGCTTGTGACAAGGCGCGGATGCAGACACAAACTGACTGCGATGGTCACGATCACCGAAGTGGCGACCGCGGACGCCTTTATGGCGGCGACGCTGGCACTTCGCCTCCAGGCGCTCGAAGCCAGCAACCTCATTACCATGTCCATGACGCTGTCGCCGCCGACGCCGACCAAGACCAAGTGGTTCTATCTCGTCTCCGGTGACGGCGACGACGCGCCAACGTCCTTTGCAGTGCTGACGGCAAACCAAGGTCCGTCGCTTGGGCCCAACATGACGTATGACCAAGCGTTTGCGCTGGGCGAGTACGTCGCGACGCAAGGCGTGACGTCCGTGACCGAGATCCACGGTTACGAGCCCAGCACCAAGGCGTTCGTTGACGGCTACCAGCAAGTGCATCCCGACACCACGTGGCGCACGGGCGGCGAACCTGGTCTTGTCTATCGCCTTGGCGCATTGACGCTGCCAGAGAACGCTATCGGGGCGCTGGTACCGGCCACGGACGCCGACATTGAGCCCCTTGTCGACTGGATGATCGCGTTCAAGATGGACTGCTACGGGTCGGAACTGCCGCGCGCGGCCGCGACCGCGACTGTCACGTCGTCGGTCGCCAGCGGCCGCATGTTCTTCTATGTCGTCGACGAGATGCGTGTGGGCTTTGGCGCCTATGCACCGCCAATGACGACGGCCGACACGACCGTGTACATGCTCGGACCGATCTACATTGTGCCATCGGCGCGGCGTCGGGGCCATGCAAAGGCGCTCACATCCGCCCTCGCGCTGCATGTCGAAACGATTTGCCCGACAAAGGAGATTGCGCACATGCTCATTTCCGGTGCGGACAACTTGGCGTCCAACCAAACGTATCGGAGCCTCGGGTTCGAGCCCGTCGGTCTCCTCGTTGGCTACTCGGTCGAGGCAACGCCATAGTTCTAGACTCAACAGTACTATCGCTCTCTTAACGACTACTAATATCCGACATATGCACAACGACGGATAGCGGAAAGTAGACCAATGAGCTTGATCATGATCGACTCGAACGAAATCGTCATTCCAGTGCACTGCGTTCTGGGTTCTTTCATGAAAAAATGCTACGAATACGAAGAACGTCTCCGGCGCGTACGTTTAGATACGTTAGCGCCACAGGGCCCTAGTCTTAGGATATTCTTAGTCTGGGCCTGCGAGTCTCTCTCGCACCAAGCAGGATCCGGAGAAAGATGGACCCTCGTGGCGATCTCTCAAGATCGCCTACATGGTGACCTTCAATTGCCAACATATCCCATCAATCGAGCAGCGTGGAAAAAAAGTCTTGAAGTCATTAAGGCAGCGCGTGACGTGTACACCATTCATCTAGGCGGTCATTGTGAGTGGCCTCTAAGCGGACCACCCGGCGTGTCAATACATGCTTGACTGTACCCGCTAATAAGCAAGAGAAAGGAGCCCAGCATCGAACCCTCTCACACGCCCAACGCTATCAAGAGCACGTACACAATGGCCATGTCGCAAGCGACACGCTTTTCACATATATAATGGGTCTCAGTTGTACTAGTACGCATTGTACTTGGCATTCCACGACTGGACTTTGGGGTGGTCGCGCACGGCATCGTGGATGGCGCGCAAGTGTGCGCACTTGTCGATGAACGCCGTGTCCAAGAACGCCAAGCGGCTCGACTTGAAGGTCGCCATGAGCGCGTAGAGAGCAAGGTCCGTGATGGTCATCGTCTCCCCGAGCACGAAGACGCCCTTGGTCATCGCGATCCGCTTCTCGAGGAGACCAAAGAGCTTAGGCAGCGTCGTCTGCGAGAGCTCGGTCGCCATGGCCTTTTGTCGGGCCGCGTCTTTTTCGTAGACCGCGGCGATTGTCGTCTTGACAATGTCGTCTTCAAAGGCAAGGATCTCGTCGACGCGCAGCGCGTCGAGCGGGTCGGACGGGTACATGCCCGTGAGCTTTCCGACGTAGCGTGCGAGGCAGTGGCTCTGCGCGTACTCGACGCCGTTGATCGTGAGCGTCGGCATCTGCTCAAAGGGGAACTCGGCCTTCCGGCGCAGAAACATCTCCATCGTGAGGCGCTCGTCCTTGAACGGAATGTCGTGGATGAAGAGGAGGAGCCGAATGAGCTCGGCGCGCCCGGGAATCGGAAAGTAGGTCAGCTTCAGCGTGGGGTGCGTGGGGTGCATGGCGCTCTCAATGGAAAAAAAGTAAAGTGATCAAGGGCGTTGGAGCGTTGGGACCAAGGTGTGGAGTGCGTCGACATGGGTGGCATATTGTCGCGCGTGGCAGGTGCAAAACCATTACGCCATCGAACTCGTTGCAAGAACGTCCGTCGTGGGCACGTGCCACGCCATCTGGCAGTACTAGTAGCTCATAGCGACAGACGCAGTGCTTGCAAACCGGGAGAGATATATGTTACGACTGGATCGGGAACAAGGGACTTGGATCGATGCATGAGAAGGTAACATGTGAGATTGTGAAGGGGGTCGAGTGTCATCGGTACAACCGATTTGTTGTGCACACTAATACATCGCCCCACAATGGTCGTACGGCGTCCACATCCCAATACCTACATGTTGCCTGCTCTGGCGAAGGCCCTGACAGCAGTGCAGTGCACGGCGAGGTGTGTCGGCCTTCGAAGCTGCTTGGGTGTAGGGTGTGAGTCACACTTGAAGCATTTCAGAAACGCTAGCAAAAGTTGCCCAGCACCGCAGTGCATGGACTGTCTCTGTGGCGTACATTCTCGTGTTGATGAAAACAGTGTGCCGAAAGAAGCAAGCAACGAGCTGTGCTTTGTCCGCCACCCGATGTGCAGCATATCCACGCCGTTCGAACACGTCGAAGTAGTGTTACCACGGTTGAGCAGAGCAGAGAGACGCCACTGTGGGCAGAGGGTAAGATAGATCCCTGCGCTTCCTCGCGCGTGCTGCAGTGCAGGAATGCACCTACCGGTAGCTTTGCACCCAGTCGTGCCTCCGCCACCTCCTGACGCAACGTGCAAAGCGCCAACACATCTCCACATTGCGACTTGTTCCCAGTCCACTGAGAAGGCTCGGCCGGCGGAAGTGACGAGTCTTCTCGTCGTCTCCATGCTCGGTACATCAATGAGGCACCTTGCGACGGCCGGTTCTGGTTCTTCCTCTTCTTCCTCGGTTGTCTTTGCCTCGGCCGAGCGCTTCAATATCCCATCTGCTATAATAGTTTCTTACTTTTCATTGCATACCGCCGCCTCGTCAACAGCGGCTGCGACAGCTGGTGCCTCTGACGCTATTGTAACAGGTCAGCTCCCTTAGTTAGTACAGTACATGTACATACTAGCACACGCGTAGCCACATCAACCTACCGGTATGTACTTCAACCTTTTGAGCACTTGGTCGTTGCTAAACGTCAAGTGGGAATTCGCTCTGCTGCACGGGCGAGAGTGAGAAAGCATGATCGAGATTGCAGAGCCTCGCGTGCGCTCGTCCACGACAGAGGCATGGGCACTCTTGCACTTTTATATCCTTTGTCGTCATTAAAGAACCTACGTTTATCGATGGCGTGCAACTGTGTCGTCAACGCATTGTGCAAGCCATCTGTTTCGCGACAACAGCTATTAATACTCTACAGTCCACACGAAAACGACACATCGACAGTTTTGATAGTTGTAGACGACTAATATTCTCAGGCGTAGTCGAGCTCCTACTGGCATGCCACGAAAACCGACTACTCGGACTTGCTCCGCTCGACCTGCTGGGCGTAATATGCTTGAACCTTTGGATGACCGTGCATCGAGGTGTAGATGGCGCGCCAGTGCGGGTAGTCGTCGACGAACGCAGTGTCCATGGGCGTGAATCGTCCGGATTGGAACGTAGCAAAGAGCACATACAGCGTAACATCGGCAATCGTCAGGGTCTCGGCCAGCACATACGTCCCTTTCGTCACCGCCAGTCGCCGTTCCAGCAGCTCAAAAAGGTGCGGCAGCTTGCTGCTCGCGAGCTCTCTTGCGAGCGCCGTCTTGCGCACAATGTCTTGCTCGCGGAGCATCGGGATTAGCGCCTGTACCACGTCTTCCTGAAACGAGAGCATCTCGTCGACGCGCAGCGCGTCGATCGGGTCGGATGGGTACATGCCCGTGAGCTTCCCGACGTAGCGCGCGAGGCTGTGACCTTGGGCAAACTCGACGCCGTTGATCGTGAGCGTCGGCACTTGCTCAAACGGAAACGACGCCTTGCGCGCCGCAAACGCGTCCCGAGTCAGGCGCTCGTCTTCGAAAGGGATGTCGTGCAGCGACAGCACGAGGCGAATGAGCTCGGCGCGCCCCGGCATGTCGAAATACGTGAGCCTCAAGCTCGGGAGCGCATTGTTCGTCGTCATTGGAGCCAAAAGGCAAAGTGGCCAAGTCGGTCGTTGGTCACCGAAGCCCAGTGAAACCCCACGGCTTCGATGCACGCAGATGATGCATTCGATCGTGTTCGATTCTGGCCCAACACCGAGCACCGGGGCATCGGAACGTGGTATTATCCTTGTCTTGGCGCAAGCTAAAGCGCAAGAGAACCGCAGGAAGATTTTAACTTGTGGCAAGTCGTCCAGTCGCGTCGAATCTCGCGACCAGACAACCGAGGCCAGAAGCTGAGACGTGGCGTTTCTTCGGCGAGCAGGAGGCTTGATCGTTGCGAAATGTGCCCAACGTGACCAACACAAATCAGATCTCGTTCGGACAACCCGTTTTGTCCACAAAGTACAAATAGTGTCGAAAGGAACACTGATACCTTTCTGATCGGACCAAAATATATATATATATGAACGTGTTTTGCGTTGTCTTCGTTGTTACAAAGAGTTCGCATACGTATAAACTAG